CTCTTCCTTTTTCAAACACCCGTGAATATTTTGATGCAGAGACTCCATCAAGATTAACCAAGAAATATCATCTGTAAAAACCTTAAAGGGAGTCTCACTACCATGGCTGCTCCAACATTTCTAAAAACTGCTGCCAACTGTTGATCAGGTTTTCCTAAGTCAAAACAGCCTCAAAATTATCCCTGTCCTAAGACCTTGTCCTAGGGAGTCATTAAGATCTAATAAAGTTGTGTGTCTAAATACAGCAAAGACAAAGATTCACTCAAATATGTGGATGTGGAATCATTTTCATAGATGGAAAAGTGATGTTTAATAGAGAACTTCAATAGATAAAATATGTAAGGTATGAAAAATTAAACGTTTCCCTTATATCAGTTACTTGGGCAAAAGCCATCTTGGAGCTTTTCTTTCTCAAATGCCAGACATTTCATCTTCTGGCAAAATTGTGTAGGATCTGTCTTCAACTACTTCTCACCATATCCACTGCCACCACCTTCTTGGGAGCCATCATCTCTCATCTGGGTTACTGCAGCATCCTCTTCCTGTTTCACTCTTGGTCCCCTGCTGTCTAGTCTTATCACAGCAGCTAGAGTATTCCTTTTTATTGCTAAGTCAGATCATGTCACTTGTCTGCACAACACTCCAGGAAAGATCCTCATGTCACTCAGAGAAAGTCACAGCTGCTATACGATCTGACACTAGTTCTGCTACTCTCTCCCTACCTCACATTTCCAGCCATTCTTGCCTCCCTGTTGTTCCCTAAGCAGCCAGGCACACTCTTATCTTGAGGCATTTTACCCAGCACTCCTTTCTGTAATGTTCTTCTCCTGGATCAGGGGTTCTCAAACAATGGTTCCCAAGCTCCCACCATCAGTGCCACCTGGGAAGTTTGTAGAAATGCAAATTCCCAGGCCTTACTGAAGATCTACTGAATTTCAAGGAACTCTAGGTGGGGCCCAACAATGTCTGTTTTAACAAGCCCTCCAGGTGATGCCATTACATGCTGAAGTTGAGAACCACCGTCCTAGACATCTGCATGGGTAACTTCCTCGCTTCCTCTAACTCTTTGCTCAAGTGTGACCTTCTGAGTGAAGTCTACTCTGACCACCATTTAAAGTTGCGTCCTTCATTCCTTCGCCAGCACGCCATAATTTCCTGTACTCTGCCCTTTTCCCATCACCTGTATCTTCTAAAATACCATAAAATTTATACTTTTATCATGTTATTGTCTCACCCCACTAGATTATTAGCTTTAGAAGGTAGCAATCTTTCTATGTTTCATTCATTGATCTATAGAAGTGTCTCAAACAGAACCTGATGCAATGTAGGTTCTCCATGTATTGAATTGAATAGATGGATAAATGAAGGTAGCCAATAGGAACAACTATACAAGGAAAGCGTGCTCAACTAAGTCAGATCATGTCAAAGCATGCCAACTAAGAGAGGTCAACCTCTATTACGGAGTCCTCTGAGAGGTAGGGGCTGTGGGGCTGAGCACATAATAAATGTCACCTCATTTCATAATAAGGGACATGTAGGTAAAACGCATATGTGTATTTATACTCCTGGTATTGGACATGTTTTATGGGACAAAGGAACAATTCAGGCATCCCGACCACTGTCCCTCTTTTTTTCTACTACTATTAAGAAGGTAGAAGAATATGGGCTGCTGTCAGACTGTAGAGGCATAGCAGTGTTAACATTTCCAAATGCCTCAGGCTACCGTGCTGGTGGGGCTGGAAAATGTACTCACTCTATTTCCATAGCTTCCTAAATAACAGCTAAAGCTCTCTGATAGAACTCAAGGACGGGGCAGCTGCTTCTGTGGGTCTTACGTCCACCATGGATTTGTTGCAAGTGAGAGGGTTGGAGTAGCCTTTTCCCTTTCTATATGTAAGTTCAAGTTGTCCTGAACAAAAGCAAGGTAATTTAAGAAAGGAAAAAAATACTGGAGGCAATAAAAAACCTTTTTCAAAACTTCCTACTAATACACCTATCCCAGAGTGAAGTGCTTTTATCTGACATTGACAATGTGGCCCAAAGACAATGGCTGTAACCCGCTGCCATCAGTACAACGGTGACACCACAAGTATACGTGCCACAAACAGAAACCAGAATCCGCTGTTAAACTGTCACACCTCTTACACATTTATTCCAAAGAAACTGTACAATTTTGATGAACTCTTACTCATAGGAACAATGCCAAGAAACTAAATAAATCAATAGTTCAATTTGGTGCCATTTATACAAACTCAATACAGGATCTTTCTTTGTGAATATATAATGTTGGCCCTTTTATTGCCTTTAAAACGGTCTCAAAGTTAGTCTCTAAAACTGACTAATGTACATAAAATCACAACTATATAGGATTAAAAAAAGCCCCTCTTTAATCCCTACCACATAAATGATGGTTACAGTAATATCGTTCTATACTCTTGGCTCTCAACCACCTACCAGCTTTATTCTAATATGACAATAAAAACCGTTAGGGGAAATGAGGCAATAGCAGAGGGATTATTGCTCTTAGCATTTAATAGTGTTGGAGTCTTGATGCTTGTTTGCATTTGCTTGGAATGAGTATGTAAGGGAAAATTAAGTTCTAAGCTGAAGCTCCTATTTGAGATCCCAGAAAGGGCTCCTGGGAATAGTTTGGCATTTTTGTGACAATAGATTTTTCTGATGAAGTACACCATTCCCTAATGAAAAAGGCCTGGCACTGCTTCATATGATAAAACCTGACCAATGTGAGGAATCTGATGATCAGTTTGGGAATGAGCGTTTTAATAAAAGAAACATGAAATCAGCTGTGTTTGGCAGAACATACCCCAAGCCATCATGAGAGTCCTTGTCCTGGCCCACAGATGATCCCCCCAGCAGCACAACTGTGTGAGTTCCCACTGACATCACTCACAATGCTGGCCCAGAGACAGAGACGTACTCCAAGAGCAGGCATGTTGGAGTCTGCTTTATTAGAGCCGCATGAAAAACAAAGCAACTTCCCTGTGACCCCTGCCAGCCCCCCAGCAAAAAATTAAACCTGCTACAGAATAGATCTGAAGCTCAGCAGAGCTGCTCAATATCTACATCTCTAGGCAAGGGTACAAACAGGGATAGGTAAACTCAATTGTAAAAAGGAAAAGGCAAACCTTTAAAAATAGTGACCCAGTAAAATGTGATGATAATGTGAAATTAAGAAGATGCAAAAACTGGACTTTGAATCCAGGTCACAGGATTGTCTAACATTTTGACTCTGGAACAACTGGTCAGCTAGTTCAGGAGACAATAACACCTGCTTTAAACTATGTTTTATACAAAGTTAGCAATGCAATAAACTTTTTTACTGTATTGATAATATTAAAGTTTACATACTCATTAATAAAAACTAGTTTACATTACCCGCATAAAGGCTTGATGTGTTCTACAGTTAGCTGCTTTGCTTGACACCTTTATGTTTCTGGTGATCACATCAGATGTTCCATTAGAGGAAAAGTAAAATCTCGATGGAGACTCTATCTTCCGGTTCACATCTAGACTCACGTTATAAAACAAAACTGCAAAATTGCGTAGAGAATTGCAATTAATATAAGTAATTACTAAAAGCATTTATTCATTATTGAAGTGGTAATAGTCAAAGTTATATGAAATACTGGAAATATCTTAAATTGTCTTCATTAAATAGCCTTTTAAAGTTAACCTGAACTATAAACAATTGAAAAATACAAATTTCAAAAATGGTTTTTATAAGTAAGTTTATAAATTGTCTCTAGGTTTCTATTTTTAACAGATTTAATATCCTTAGTTGTCTGCTTAATCCTCCTATATATAAACATTTAAAAACTACAACACCCAAATTGTTACTATTAATAAAAGTTCTGAGTAAAGTTTCAGATTTCTTGGGAGTCCTTTTTGTCCTTAGAACATCCAAGTCTAGTTAAGGAAGTACAGGGAGATTACAGTGCTCAAATATGTCACTTGGTATAATTTTATCTTCTGTAATTACACAACTAATTTCATATTTATTTCCATTTTTTTCCAATTGAGAGATTGCTATTTTTCTTTTGGTTTCTTGGGTTTTTAAGGCAAACAAGATTCAAAGGTCAAATCTATAAAAACACTTTACTCAAAGACATCTTCTTTTCCAGACTTAAGCCCTGATTAGTCCCTCCATGTTTTTATTGGTTTCTCCTTTAGCCTCCAGAGTTGATTTGTGCAAAAATAAAGAAATAAAGGCATTCTCTCAGTAAATATTTTGGCAGTCTGTCAAGAACTTATATCAAATCTGACATAGTAAATAACCGTCTGCTAAAGAAGACCTTCAATAAGCAAAAACATGAGGAAATTCACAAATAACAAGAAAAAAATTCCAAGCCTGATTTTACAAGAAAGTATCACCTATTTTTTAACCAAAAGGTTTTTTTTTTGCAAAACAATCTACATCTAATAGTGTGCTGAGGTGTCACTCATTATGTAGGAACAATAACTCATAATTGATATTTTAAATTATTTAATTCCTGAGGTGTTCACTGACATGTTAGGAGTAATGTGCTTTTCTGGAAAGATTTTGTCTACTTCCTACAAGGAAATATAAGTACAAAACCTATATTACTACAAATTTCAGATAAATCTTTTAACATTTTTTTATTTACAGAATAAATAAAGTCCATATCAATTGGCTTCAAAATTACAATAACTGAGATTCAATGCCTCAGAGATGGAGCTGCCATTGAAATGGCCATCTACAAATTCATCACCCCAAATTCAGACAAAAAGTAAATGAAAAAAGGGTGAATAAAATCCACTCACAGTAAGAGGCAAAATGTCTTGATTTTATTAAACATGCTTACCATGTGAATTATTTCACCCAAGGAGTCATTTTATGACAACTATAAAGCACGTTTCTGTAACCATGCTGTGATTATTTATGAGTTCCATATATTTATTTCAGCCATTTTTAGAAATATCTGGTCACAATGGAATTGGTAGTACAAGCATTGATTTTACATAAAGGGAAATAGTCATACCTACTTAACTTTTTTTCACAAAATCCATCAGCTTGTCTGTGTTACTGTGTGACTGAGGTCATGCTCTGAAACTGCCCCTTCTCCCACCTGTAACCAGATGAAGGATCTGCCCCCCACCCTATCGGTGCTGGTCTAGTTAGGACTTTGGCAGAGCGCTATTCAACATTAGTCGGACCTAAGGTAGAGATACCATTCTCATTCTGTACTTCCCATTACAGACTAATTCAAGCTGAGACTTCTGCCACATACCCATAGTTTGGTTAATAATTATTTGCTGACCTTCATGATATGAGATGATGAGAACCTGTAAGGTCATATGTACAATCAACACTTGATAGGTCTTGTGGGGCTCATGAACTTTGTGAATTATTAATGTCCAAATGATAAACCCAGGTATGCTTCTCCCCTACCATGGCCTGGGTTCATTAGTAGTTACTCTTAAGTATTAGCTTAAATATTAGCATAATTAAGAACATTAATCTTCTAGAAAAAATGTAATACTCATGAAGTCACATACATGTGGTTTGGAATGAGCCACAATTCTGGATAAGCCACATCAATGCTACTTTCTCCAGAGCAGATAACTGAGAGTTACCCCTGTATAGGGAAATTGGTATGACTCTCAGGATCTGATACTCATAGAAAATCCTTAAGAGGTGTGTAATGTACAGAAATCACCATCAGGGGCTAGATTTGAGGTATGCTTCTTCAATCACTCCAACAAGATAGAATATGAAGAAAGGAATCTTTTCCCTTCCAGGATTTCCAACATAAGCCAGTTCTACATTCTAAGGAGCCAGGTTTCAGAGGAAGAGCTGTGGTAATGTTCTTTCTACTTGAATGAGATCTTACAGATCAAGCTCAGTTAGTTCACCTTAAAGAGTATAGCAAGTGGCCCTTCTTGCTTTACTTCTTGCTATAATCCCTGTACAGCTATAGCTTCTTAATGCATCCAACTCATTAGTTAGAACAATGTGAGAATCCAGAAGAAGGAAAAGAAAGGTGTGTTCAGCAATACGGTGAAACACAGTGGGGGTTCAAAAGATGATCGTGAGACTAATGACTGGAGTACACACTCTCTCAGGCATTAATTCTGTAAGGGCACCCTTACCAATATAACCTGGAACCTCCTTGCCCTTATATGAGAAACAGACGGTTAGATCCATACACACAGATGGCAATCCATTTTCAATACAGCCAAAATTTGTTCTATTTACTGACTCAGGATGGTTTAAAGAAGCTTCAACAATCACTACAGGTCTTGTCCTAAGAAGAAAATAAAATTAGCAATATTAATTACAGTATTGTTTTTCCTTAAGAAAAATTTGTGTTTGTTTTGTCAGTTTCCACTGACCAAGTAATTTCATGAAACTGCTTATTAAGAGTACATGCATACAAACTCAATTACATTTCCAGGCATCAATCAAGAGAACTTTTCATTCAATTTTCTAAAAATATTGATTTTTGTCTGATGGTTTATTTAATTATATTTTATGTAAGGAAGGAAAAGTATCATAAAGTCCAATAATTAAAGTTCAGAATACTAAAAATGTTAATCATAATTACTGCTGATTTTAAAAATTGCCTTCCATCATTTACAATTCAGCCCAATTGTCACTAAGCAGTGAATTGTATCAATCTTACCTTAGCAATACAGCAGAATTGGACCGAAAAGCACCAACCACTATATCTGGAGGATAAAAACAACACAGATTAATGATGATTGTTAGTCAAATAGAATTTTTTTCAGCCTTAAATACTGAACTACATATCACTGTTTGACTATATCAAAACACTATTTATAGAAAATTAATTAGAAAAAATATGCTTACATCTTAAGATTCATTCCACATTTGTTTGAATCTATTCATTTACAATGAAATTCTTCCCTTTACGATATAAACAAACGTTATGATAAAAACTTATGGTATAAAGATAAGCTACTAAAACAAAAATCAATTTTTAGACTAGAAACATTCACCCAGAAATCTCCTTTCAAAGTACAATACAAAAAAATCTTTCGTCATCATATGTTTGATTTATTTTCATGGGTGCTTTTAATTTTTTTTTTCAAGAACAAGGAATAAAATGTAAGTAACAGTGTAACTCATGAATTATTGGATCATTTCTGACCCATCCTTGAATTTAAAAAAAAAAACCTTTAAAAATGAAGGGAAAAATATCACCAGAAAATCAGAACTCCTCCACACCTGTTTTACTTCTAACTTTGCAATAAAGCAACATCACAGTAGAGCTTATTTCAATTTTATACTTACCTACATATCCATTATTATCTGCATCAATTTGTCCAGAGATAGACTGTCCAAACATACTTAATGATTTGCTGATTTGGAGTCCTTCAATTCTCTGAAAAAATAGGTAAGTTGAGTGGGAAGCAGTTTTTGAACACCTAATATTACAGGAAAGCTATAATTTAATTAAATAATGAGCCTTCTTACTCCTTGGCACATTTATTAACAAAATTCATTTAGTTAAGTCAAATACTTGTATCCAAGAGAAACAAAAGTTTCCAGCTTGAAGTGGATGGGTGACATCTATTTTTTGACTAGAAAAAAATGCATTTCTTTACTCTGTTAGCAAAGAGAAAATTATATACTATAGACCTTCTAAAATAGTCATGACACCCTCTCCCCAGTTTCTTTCAGGCTCTATATTTATTTCCCTGGCCAACATGAATAACCAAACAAGTAATATGGAAAATAAAACAACTGTAATCACTTAGCAGAACCTCAAGCTTATGATGAAAGCCACCCTCTTAAGCCAGATTGCATCCTAGCATGTGAAGAGGAC